TCGAGCCCCACATCGGGCTCCCTGCTTCGCGGGAAGCCTGCTTCTCCCTTTCCCACTCCCCCCTGCTTGTGTTACCTCTCTCGCTGTCTCTGTCAATTAAATAAATAAAATCTTAAAAAAAAAAAAAGTGATACATCTCTTTCTGTTTGAATGGTTAAGGGCTTGGGACTGTTATATTTCCTTTAGGGCAAACTAAAAACAATGATAAACTCCTAAGATTTGAAGGAAAACCACTAGGTCAAAAACCAGAATTACTACATATCCCTTAAGAGTGAAGGATCATTCTCTTAAAAGTGAAGGATCTTAGCCTAGGGCATCTTATTAGCAGGGGAGGACAGTAGCCCATGAGAAGTTTTTAGCTTCTAGAACAGATTCTCTGTTGGGGGTGGAAGAATATATCAGAATGACCTGAGAAACTTAAAATAATGTCTTCCCTCCTACACACCCCATACACACTTGTACGCACACATTCATCTGTGTCCTCTGTTTCTTGTTTCAAAGTAAGTTTCTTATCCACAAATAAACACTCTCCTCCATTCTATGGGCTCCTCCCTCTACAAATACTCATTCTCAAGAACGCAAAATGGTTTTCAGAGTAAGAAATCATCCTGCCCAGGATCATATATTTCTTTGCATCTGCAAAAGCTGGCCAGACTCTTGGTAACTCCAACCCTCTTCAGTCTACCTACTGCCAGTGGGGAGCCTGTTGGGCAAGGAGAATTGCTTTTAGGCTTTAAAAGCATTGCACACCAAAGGTTGAGAACACTAGAAACCACAGGGGCCAGACAGGTCACTCAGGCCCCTCAGGGCTGAAGTCAGGTTCAGGGTGTTCCTGGTGTAGGGTTTCTCTGCACCAGGAACTGCTGCTAGTCCTCACTGCTAGAAAATACCAGGAGGACGCTATCACCCCGGGGTGCTGCCAGGCAGTTTGCTGACATATCCCCAGGGGTGGATGTGGGGAGAATGTCACCCAGCTCATGGCACTCATTTATTTTTCCTGAAAAGAAGGTAAACCAATGTATTAGGTAACTGACGCATTAGGAAAAGTTCACTTCTCTGATTCTGAACTAAAAGTATTCATTCTTCGGAGTGGCGTTTTCTAGTGAAAACAAACCCTGCCACGTGCTTACAGCATTCGCTGTGGTAGATTTCCACAGGGGATCACCCATCTCACATTCTTCAGAAGGGACGCTGGGGATCTCCAATCAGTGACTTAACTCACAGTAAGTAGGCTGGAAGGATCTATGCCTCTACTCTGGGTGCACGGTAGGGTATTTAATAAACATGTGAACTGATGACGAGGATTATGGAATGCTTCGCTAACCATAATGCACTGAGGTGAAAAACGATGATTTGGTAATTCAAGGTTGACTTGAAACTGGGGGTAAAAGGGAACATCCATGGATGCGATTTATTTGTAACTTTAAAAATCTTTAACAGGGTTTCAGAAGTGAAACTGTTTAAAAATGTGAGTCCCCACTGAAGCAAAGGGAATGTGAACAGGAAACTGTTTTAGGGAAAGGTATGAAAGGTTAGTATGAGCAGGTCCTTCTCCAGGTGGAAAGAGTATGAGTGGCAGATAGCCTCAGGGGTCCGTGCTAACAGCAGGGTTATAATAACCTGGAAGATAAGTAGAAGGAAAAATTTAAGTATCCAGATAATGATTATTCTGGGAAATGCAAGTCCTTGAGGATAACAGGAAAAAAAATCTTCAAAATGTAAGCAATGTAAAGGGCAGAGGGGTTTAGAGAACCACTGTAAGCTGAACCATCCTCAAAAGATGAAGCGCTATCAGTGACAATGGACGTAAGAGATCTTGCAATCACTATAGACTGGATCCAGGTGACACTGATTCCTTATGTTTTTATGGTTAAAGACGAGGCCAATAAAATGCAGGACAGGAGAAGATGGGATATCAGATACAACATAAAAGCACTTTTCTACATTACACTGCAGCTACACCAGCGTGCTTTGTCTTCTGGACACCGTACCTTAGAAGGATCAAGATAAAGAACGTCTAATATTTGTCTAGTACAAACAGTTTTCAGAGCTCCTTCACAGACAATACTTCATTGGACCCTCCGGTACCTTGAGGGAAAGACCTCCTCATGTCCAGACGACAAAACTGAATCTTACTTAAGTAGGTTAATCCCAGAGTCGCTGAATTTCTCAGAGATAAAACTAGGAATCCAGCCTGGGACTTCTGGTTCTAAAGCTCTTCTTCCTCAACCCCATGCTTGTGCTGAAAAATCTCTAGAAAATAGGACTCAAATGACAAAGAGCTGGAGAAGGAGCCTTTTTAGAGGCAAGGTAAACCTGTCAGGTTTGGGGTTTTTTTTGTTGTTGTTTTTTTGTTTTTTTGCCTCTCAGCTCCAAATTTCATCCTTCAATCTTGCTCTGAAACTGTATGTGGGCCCTTTAACTAATTTTCCTTTGCCAGCTGGCATGATCTTTAAGCTTCGTCCTGTAAGGCCGCCGGAGAGACACGGCACAAGGAAAAGTCTGCTTCCTGGTTTGGTTGTGCTTGCTCGGCAGGCTCCTGCAGCACACACACTCCCAGCGTCTGGCTCCTGTGTGCGTGAGGCTGCCTCGGCACCCAGCCCCTGTGGCAGGAGGGGCCGCCCCCAGCACCTCCCAGGGCCAACCTGTGGCAGACAGAGTGCCTGTATTGGGACACCTCCCAGTGAAGAGCTCTCCTAAGCATTCCAGAGGGTAGATACTTGGCAAGTTCCACCACTAAGTTTCTTTCATAAAAGAACTTCTCCACCATCCAGTGGGTCACAGCCATACCCTCTCCCACAGGGTCTGGATGGAAGCCTGGGAAAGGGCACTCTTCCCTGGGGATGGCTCAGGGATGTGGCTGCTCCTTAGACCTGCTAACCCCGTAATCTTGAGTTCTCTTTGCTTCTTACTACCAATCTGTTGTTACTTCCATCCCAAGTAAGAGTTAATTATTCTTGATGTTAAACTTTCTTATTCAAATTCATTTGCCTGGTTTCTCTCTCCCAACTGGACTGACTGATAGACAAAGTGTAGGAGGAATACTCGCTTTATAAGATGAAAGCAAAAAGAGGACAGAAACAAAATCTATATAATTACAAAAGGTATGGAAATTGTGAGAAAGGAATAACTAAAACCTAGTTTCTGACAACCATGGGTCCAAACTTTGAAACTGCGAATAGGTAGCTCTAAGAAAAAAAAAAGTGCTTTTTGTTACTGAAGAGATGATGCTAAGTGGAAGTACACATTGTTTCAAGATTGGTGTGGATAAATTCAGGGAAGATAAATTTAGAAATAGAGGGAAGCAGGGTTTCTTACGCTACATATCATAAACTATGTATCATGCAATGGGGAACAAACTTAACAGCACATTAAACATTCCCTAGAGGCCAGGGTCATTCTGAAATGGATTGTATTTCTCAAAATGCGGTCCAATTCTCTATATGAACTTTTACAAATATATGTTTTCATTCTGATAAAAATTAAAAAAAAAACTCCAATAGAATAGTCTGATCATCTACATGGCTGACTATCATAAAGCTGAGTTTAGTGCTTCATTATACATTAGTATTTCAGAGCATACTGTACCAGCTTATGTGGCAAGGGCTGATGACAAATGAACTAGGCTGAACTGGGTATATAAATATTATGTCAGTGCCAAGTAAAAGCCAAGGGACCTCACGGTACACTGTATGAAAAGAGATTTGAGGTTTGAAGGCAGTTTAAATAGAGAAAAGCAATGGGTGAAATAAGTGATCAGAAATAGAATTTTACCATCTCATTTTACATAGTAAAATTATGTTTTAGGTAATGATTAATTACTTGATGATTTTATCACTGAAAAAAGTCAGCTAATGTAAACTAATGTTATTCGTCAGATAAAATTATCAGTGGCTTAATAAACCTGGTCCTTATAATAATGGGGTTCTCTCTGTGATACTTTTTATTCTTTCATAAAAGTCTCTTTTTGAAGTCAGTGAATTGAACATCATAAATTATAGCAGTTAGGGATGAATATTTTATTTGAAAATCAAACTAATTAAAAGCATAAAATATCACTTAATATGTATCTTAGGTGATGACAATAAATTTATTTAACATGGTTGAAAGCTTATTAATAAGCTCTCTCTCAGAAAAATTCTTTTCTTTGGTATTACAGTGGGAAAAATAAAAGATTGTACTGTCCTAGAAAGATACCAATGGATGTCTTATGACTATGGACTTCTTAGAAGAACTTATCTTTGCATTGCTGCCAACATCATAAAACAATGGGCAGTGTGTGTTTTTAGATTAAGAAAAAAATCAGACCTTTAATTCTCTGATGCAGCAAACACTCTGGCATTAGAGACAGGAAAACTCATAAAAGAATTAAGTAAATTAAAAAAAAGTCACAGGTGAAATTTTTTAACAGTATAACAAATACTTCTAAAAGTTCTCTATGACTGGATTTTTAAGCACAGGTTAGAATTACCCTGATTTTTTATTTTTGAGAGTGTTCTTATGATGCTGTCAATATTAACACCAAAGAAGAGAAAGGCAATCTTTTTTCAACCCACATTTCTTTCTTGTCTGTTGTTAGCAACTGTTTGTTTCTTCAATAAGAAGCCCTACTACCAATATCAGAAATACTGGCATCCAAATTATTTTACTGTAGAACAAACCTGTGACAAACAAGAATATTATGTATGGTGAAAATATGCCACTTAAGGGTGTGAATAAGGTCTAGATCACGTTAAATATATACAAATAAAATGCTTCCCCGTAATTTTCTTTAATAGGCACACACAAACCTAACCATCATATTTAAAGACTCAAGAAAAAAAGACATTTTCCCTTTCTCTAACTACAGAATTACTAGCTCTACCAAAAATTAATGAACCCAAATGAAAATGAATCTTAATGTTAAAACTGTGAAATTCTGTCAGGCCTAGGAAGTTCTGGTGGGATTAGTGCTTTGCTCTCATGTGTATCAGTAAAAAGGGCCCAGTTGTTTAACTCACCTCTCCACAGTCACTGTCGATTGGTGTGAGGTGACCGCATGTGGGCTGCTCATTGGTTCTCCATTTCCTGGAGAGTTTGTCATACATGGAAGTGCAGATACCACTGGACACAGCAAAGAAGATGGGACAAACGGTTACTACTACTCTAGTATCGAACTCAAACCCCAGGAGCCAGAATGCCTAGATTTATGTCCTGGCTCTGCTACTTACCGGCTGTGTGACCTTGGGCAGGCCACAGACTCTCTGTGCCTCAGTTTCCTCATGAGTAAGAATACCTACCTCACAGACTCCAGTGACAATTAAATGTCTTAATATACGCAAAGTACTTAGAACAGTGCCCAGCACAATGTAAGGGTGGAAAGCACTGTTGTTATTATTTTTGCTTGCACTAAATTGACTTTGGGCAAAAAGTATATAATGTTCAAGCCAAAGCAATTGATGAAGATAGCAGTAAGCTGACTTGATCAGGCTGATGGTGAATATCTTCTGAAGGATTCAGAGCAAATCACCATGAACTACCTTAAGTGATAAAAAATAATTTTTAAACTCAGTTTAGTTCTAGTCGCACTTAAAATGATAGGGATTTCCATGAATGGAAGGCCAGTGAATTGTACTTTACTATGCCACCTTGTCATTCAATGCTCAGTGCTGTAGTCCAGCTTAAGCCAACAATATTGATGACAGACTCCAAAATCTGAGCCAGGGTTACTTAAAGTCCTGTAAACCTTCATATAGGTCAGAGTTTCAGGGAAATTTGTGGCAGTTTATGGTTTCAGCTTGACATGAAGGAATAACTGAAATATAATTCCAAGGAAGTGTTATTTCATAACCTGGCACAAATTCAGTAAAGCTGCCAGAGGTCCAGAGAGTCTGATAACTGAAGAAGTTATTAATAACTTTATTAAAGGGGCCAAAATTCACAAAGCTGGTAATAGGCAGCCTTGGAGATTTCTGATAGATCTGTAAGCTCGCCTGCCTGCCCTAGAATTCTCTTTGGAGCACTGGCAACACCATTCAGCCCTCAACCACACATGGGACAGGGGGAAGGAGGAATATTTGTTAGACAGATAATCCCTCAGGCCTCTATTTAGCAGTATTAACTCAAACCAGATTTATTATGAGTGTTGATAAACACAGATATGATGACTGGCAAGTTGCACCTTCCCTCTTGCTTTTGTTGATTCTCGGGCTGAGGTACAAAATCGTATTTTGTAATACATATAATTTGTATAATAAATATTGAAAGAATTAATATAAGGGGAGCAGCCAGGAAGGGGAAAGATGTAAAAACAAACAAAAAAATAAGGAACCTGGCCATGCATTAACTATAGCAACAGCCCCTCAAAAAACCCCATGTTGGTGCAATTTAAATCCTAAAATGCTCATTCTGATGACTCATGGGGGGTTGTGCCTACGTAAAGTCTTCCTGAGTTACAACATTTGTGAAGACAACCTGCTAAAAATGCAATGGGGTTAACAGGCAACCATTAGGGTTATTCTCCAAACAAATATAATTAGGGCATCTTGAAAAAAGCATGAAAAGTTCACTAAGAAGGAATCATGACATAGAGAAACTAGGATAGCCTCTTTTGAAATAAAACCAAATCCCAAGATAACAACATATTACTTTTGAAAACCTCTAGAGTTTACAGAAAAAAATTTTTTTCACATAAATCATTTCATTTGATCTTTAGTCTTGCAAGAAAAAAACAGCAAAGGAAAGTGAGGTATCTCTGGTGCTTTCTTGTCATATTGATATTGCAGATGAGGAAAGAAGAAGAGTGCATGATGAGCTATCTACCAACCACCTGTATGTACAATCATGAAGACTATGTGGGATCACAGGAGAATCATAAGCTTGGACTCCAGCTGTATGAGCTGGGTCTGCCACTTGAGTGAAGAACTCCTCGGAGGAAGGGACCTGGCCTGGCCTGTTCACACTGAATCCCAGCACCTGCAACAAGGTCTGGCACGTGACAGGTCTCCAAAACTGCTTGCTGACCTCAAGATAAAGCAGTTCTACCTCACAAGGCTGCAGCAGAAATTAAAGAAGAAAATGTATGCAGGAGGTACCTGACACAAAGAGACCATTTAATAAATATTAATTGAATTTGGGTACTAACACACTAAGGTACATTTTATTTCAAGCAAATTTGGTTTAAAATCACCAAGAAATTAATCATCTCTGTCCAAAGCCTATAGGTATCAACAACTTTCTAATGAAATTTCAACTAATTTCTAATTTTAACTCTATTCTGAAATCAGAAGTTAAAAAGGTATAAATTCTTTTGTGAGAACTGCCATAAATACAAGTTGTCAAAATGTGTTTAGAGTCCTTAAGAGCAAATACAAATACATGCTACTTTAGCAGACAATAAATGATAAATGAAATTTAATTTTATAACACAAATAAAATTCTTCTAATCGTGTGTGTATATATTCAGATGTGTACATCTCTTTCTCTCTAGGCATATATCTATATACACATAGATATATACAAACATATATTCACAAATACGGGTATTTGTAATGTAACATGATTTAAAATATTAAAGCACACTATTAGAGTATAAACAATGTGAAAAAAAATCTGCCAGAAATGTGAGAGTTTTACATAAGGCGAAAATCTGTGGACTAGATGACACACACCTAAGCTTCTGTAAGTCAATGAGTACCTTTTTTTCCCCCAAGTCAATGATTATCTTGATCTCTAGAGAGTCAATCCAAAAATTCTATATTTGAATTTGTTTGAATTCACTGAAGTAAATACCTGGTCCTTCAGGGAGAGCTCCCTTGGTTATATCTCCATTTCTCTGATCAACAGGTTTCTACCAAAAAAAAAAAGAAAAAAAAAAGAAAAAAAAAAAAGATTTTTTAATGTTAAAGTGAAAGTAAAGAAAAAAAAGCTATTAAGAATAGTTTAAAAATGGCACCTCAGTACCTTATCTGTAGCTTCTGTTCTCCTGGTTCTTTTCATAATCTCCTCGAGTCGCTACAAGAAAGGGAGAATTGAGCAAAGGGGTCAGAGAGGGAAAGAAGGCGAGCCTGGCACATTTCACTGACTAAGCAAATGGGTCATCCAAACGTGTCTGTTACTGTGGGCAATTATAATACCCACTGCTTCAACTTAACTGGCATTATGCACATCAAGCTAGAACTGACTTAAGCCACACGAATCGGAAGGAACTGTTTTTGGTGGGGGCCGCACTATGAAGACAGATTTCTTTGGACGAGATGATTAATATTGGGAGCTACTTTAGTTAATCTGGAATGGGCAGCACGCATTTGCTTTCTGAGAGCGGTGAGCTAGTCTCCTGGGCTTGGGGCTTCAAGTCTGGGGAAGAAGGAACAATTAGCATCCCAGGCTCTGTTCTAGACGGGGGCACCTTTTTCCTTTCCAGGCGCTCCTGCTCTTCTCTCTGGAAATGCTTCTCTCGCTCCTGCCGAACCCTCTCTGCTTCCTCACGAAGGCGAGCTTCTTCTTCCTTCTGGAAACAAGAAGTGGGCCAGTGCTTCAGGCCGGCAGGGCCTCGGGCCGCCCGCAACCATCCGGGCGCCCGGAGGCGGAGGCTCGGGGTCCACGGGGCAGGTGCGGGATGCGAGCGCGCGCGTGC